ATGAGAACTGCGGTGTTGGCCGCCACGTGGGCCTCCGTTGAAAGAATGGGGGAGTGGAGTTCCCTGGAAAGTTGGACCAAAATGTTGGGGAGCGCGTCCTTGGGAGTTGTAGCTAAAAGTGCAGGTGGCAGGGGGTCCTTATCACAAATTTGAGGTTCCCCACGTCAACGGGGCCCTTCAAGCATCTGCGGTCTTGAATCTATCTGGAGGTGTCGACCACCCTGCAATTATCCTGAAAAGCTTGCCCTTTGGCCCTTTTCGGCACGTTTCTAGGGAAGGGAGCAATCCGGCAACCCCGGTGGAAGTCAAGTCTAAAGTGCCATAACCTCCACGAAGCAATAGTGTTGCAGAAACTGGTGTGCTCAAAAGATAAATAAGAGCTTGTGGCCCTTGACATGGTGTGGAACCTTCCCTATTCCTTTGTATCAACCAACAATAATTGTTTGTCGCCGCCCTCTTTGCGAGGCAAACAAAAGGCTAGATCGTAGCCCTGCCCCCCGAGCAAGGGTTGGAAGCACGTGAAGCCAACGAGTCAGCTTGCATCTGGTCCCTAAATCACTCCACGCATTTGCTTTGGTTTACAGAGTTGAACGCTTCCAAACTACTCCCCCAGGAAACCCTTCTTTGAGGGTCACAAGCAATAACAATGGAATTTGAGGCTGCGCCTTACGAGTCGGTCACATGATGTCCTGATCATCTTTGGAACAATCCTACTCATTTGGTCGGCACAGGGACTGAAATCTTCAATGCCAAACGCTCGCCATAAAGGGGGCTAGCAGCATTCTTCCTGATCATTATCAACACAGGCCAAGTGACTTCAAAGGCTAATGTTTTGGGGGTTCCGAGTTGCAGGGCTTAGGGTTGGATTGTTATGAAAGAGTGCGTTTCTTGTTTGAACGGTCCCACACCCCTTGCTAAAAAAGCCCTTTGAAGCCGCTTGACCTGCCAAGAGAACCCACTGAAAAGCGGGTGGGTGTGGGAAGGTTGTTCTCAATCTCAGGCTTCTGCCCGGCAAAATGTTTACAGGGGTATGGTTGAGTTCATCGGCTAACAATGCCAGCACGCCCTTTCCGTTTTCTTCCAGAAAAGGAGTCTGTATGAGGCATCACACGCCCAAAAAATGCACAAAGCGAAACAATCGTTGCAAATGACTTTTGAGGCTGGCGGGAAGGGAGGTCGTCCTTTTTCATTATTAGAACTGTACCTCCCCCATGTGCCCATTTGTTCTGGAACCAACCGCAGGTGGAACAACTAGTCAGTGTATGAAAATAACCATGGGTCACTTGTGGGCAAGCAAGCCGGCCTTCAACGGAGTGAACACGCAGCACTCAGATTCTTGCAATTGTCAGGAAACCTTTGCCTGGTCAAAGTGGTAGGGCGTGTCACCTAGCAGTATTCCGTGCCCATGGTCCGGCCTTTGCTTCCATTGGCTGACCTCCCGCCAGCCAAGCGCAGAAAATCTCAGCGGGTGTCCTCAGTTCAGTTTGTCGACGCCGGCGCTGGTTTGACTGACTGTGACGGGCACCGCTGCGACAGGGATGGTTCAACCGGCTCTGAAAGGCTCTATGGCCATCGCACTGCGCAAGAACCTCCTGAAATGCAGCGCCGCTTCGACTATGACCCTGTGCTGTTTCGAATCGGCCTGGCCATGGTGACTCCTGCAAGGACGTGGACCCCTACACCTTCCCCTTATGGCATCAAGTGGCAGGACATACCGGCAGAGCTGATTACTGACCGGCAACATAGTAGCGATTGCTTTTGCTTGGCGTGTCTATATGATGGCTCAGCGAGCGCAGCCTTTCAGTAAACTGTTCATCCTGAGACCCCCTTCTCAGAGATAAGACATGGAGTTCTAGGGGTAATTGACCCTTCTTTGAAGAAAACCACCAAAAACCCTGTCAGAACCCTTCAGTCGAAATCTGTCAAACCCCGTCAAAACCTGCCAAAATCCGTCATATTCCAAACAACACGGGGGGTTCATATTCCAAATTCCGTCACTGCAACAATGGTCCACTTGAGGGGCTAACTTGATGCTTTTTTGCCAAGGTAAGAAAAAGAACAGTAACCTTTGAATGCTGTCCTAGGGCTTCGCTCACCAGCTGCGTTGGCCGGTTGGACGGGTGAGATGGGGAGCGCTAAGAAGAACTCTGCGTAGGCACCAACACTTCCCCCCCCCCCACCCACCCATCCCCCCCACCCACCCACGCCGCCCGCGAACCCACACACCACGCGCCCACGCAAGCATGTGCTCGCTGCGAACCCACAGCTGCAAGGTTGCTTGCCCAACCCGCCTGACACTGAGCCTGCGCTCACCCACCCTAGCTTGAGCATGTGTGGCATGTGTGCCTGCTTGCTCGCACCGACAGCCAATCAGACAAAAAAATGCATCCCCGGCAGCCCGTCCCAGCCCCACAGAAACCTGTAGAAAAATAAAGAAACACACGGTCTTCAAGATGTTTTTTCCGCACAGCGGCGGCGGCCGCACTTGCGCAAGAACAGCCGCTCACTCGATCGCAGACTCGCCCGCCATGTCCGCCTACTGCCAAATCCTACTCTCAGGGGGGCGTTTTTTGAAGGGTTTGAGCGACCCAGGGATGCAAGGGATGCTGGAACGCCCAGATGCTGGTGATGCAGGAATGTCGGGGATGCTGGCGAAGTTTGTAAGGATGCAGAGGATGTTGGCGGGGATGCTGGCGACTGTCCGGGGTGATTTGCACGGTACTTACAGTGTTTTTGAAGGTCGGGCAGCGTGGCATCAGAAGCCCGTCGTGGGGATGTTTTGGGGTCCAAGTGTTTGGGCCGGCCTGCGTGCAGGTGATGCAGGCAATGCTGAGGAGGAGTTTGGGGTGCACCAAAACACGTCAGCGGTATACCCTATGGGTAGGATTGCCCTTGCTCTTCGAAGACACACAGCGCAGCTGGATTTGCACACCAGCTTTGTTGGCGAGCATCCACTCCGAGAAAGTCTTGAGCATTTCTGCGTGTGATTGGTTGGTTTTGCTGCTCCTGGTTTTTCATCATGTCTACTGCTTTTTGACCATGGCAACTGCTTTTCAAGTTATGAGGCCCAGACCTACTAAGACTACTACTTTTCCCAAAAGCGCTGAGAAAAAACGCGAAGGATTCTTTTCAACCCATCGTTCTTTTCAATAACCAGCCATTTCCCCAGGTTTTTTGGGGAAGCTACCCCTGCAAAAATGGGTTTCGTTAAAAATTGGGGGGTCCAGGATGTAGAGTGTAGTGTGGAATCAACGTTTTGGAACAGCATGCGCGCACGCAATTCAGAATGATACAATTCAGAATGATTCGCAAGCACTCCAATGAGCCGGGAAAATGACAGGTGTGTCCGCACTTGTGAGCTGCTGGAATGCTTGTCACAGCCTTGAGCACGCAAGGGCATGTCACCTTGTTGCCGAGTTGCCTGCTTGAGCAGCATCTCTGCGAACAAAGGTACGAGCAGCTTCTCCGCATGTGTGGTGGTTCAACAGCCACGCAGAGGTGATGCCAGTGAATCTTTGTAGGAAAATGCTAGCTGGTTCCCATGACTTGAGAGGGCTTCACAAAAACACTTCAAATGTGGATGTCGTGGCCTTCTGTTGCTGGGGGCGGGGTACCTCTCAGAAACTGATAGTGCTGCCATGTTTCAGCTGGTAGGCGTGCAGGATGGTAAGCCTGCGCAGCGTGCTTCGCAGCTGCCCGGGACGCAGGAGCGCCCCTCGCAGGCCCAGGTGCAGGACTGCCTCCAAGCCTTGGCTGGCTTGATTGAGGGGCACTTCATCTCTTAAGACTCAAATAGGGTCGTCCTTTTTGTGACCTGTGGAAGGCCAAGTTTGTCTTCAGCTTTCTCATTTGTAGTTTTTGCCCGGTGTCATTTTTTCCTGCAGGACCAATGGAAGTCGGCGCTTCAAGAAATGCTCACTCAGTTGCCAGTTGCGCTGGGCCCTGATGAGGAGGCCGCGCGCAACACAGCCCTTTTGCGCATTCGTGAATGCGTAGCCTGGCGGTGGAAGTCCCTCATGGAGGGGCTCCCGCGCATGAGCAAGCAGGTGTTCAGGGAACAGGCGGAGGAGATTCAGGAGCATCTCAACGGCCTGAAGGAGATTCATGGCCACGACATGCCCTTCGCCCCGGTCCCTTCTACCATTCTTGCGCAGCTTGAAAACGCTGCAGCCGACGACGCCTCTGGCAGCGCTGCTTCTGAGCGCGATAGCTCAAGCCGCACAAGCAGCACGCAAAGTGAAACGATGGGAGCTGCCAAGTTTAAGTTTCTGTCGAAGGACTCCACAGTGTGGACAGTCATGCAGGCTTGGAACTTGTGTATCTGAATCTGTCTGCGCGCCCCAAAAAAATGTTTCAGAAACGGTTGCCTTCTGTCATTTACCGCAGGTGGGAGAGTCTGAGCAGTGCGATGGCTACTGCCATTTCCTGGCAGCCAACGAATGGTATCAGTTGAAGACGCCTTTCAGCCAATGGTTCACGAAGAACTGGTGCACGGTGGCGTCTGAAATCGGCGCTGAATGGAAGATCGCTGGAGTCCACGCACTCAGCCTGCAAGCCCAGAGTTGACCAAAGGTGTGTTCATCCACGGTTCTTTTCTTGCATTTTCTGGCCAGCTCAGGTAGTCCGGAAGTCTGGCTACAAAGGGGCTTTCAAAGCCAAGACTGGCCCATTGGATGGGGCAACAGTGCTTGGCATATGCCAAGTGCTTGCCAGTGTGCTTCCGGCGGCGTCTATGCAGATGGCGGCTGTCAAGTCCTGCCTCAACACCTTGTCCTTCTTGGAGAGTTTCGTCAGCATATCCACAAGTCTTCCCACCAGGGGCAGCGCTGCGCTGGACGTCAGTAACAACATGATTCCCACGACCCAGCTCAAGGCTCTTCTGAAAGATGAAGGGATGGCGTGGCCAAGGCCCTCGGCCGGCAACACTTAGCAAACAATTACTTCACTTTTGCGGGTGTAACTAAGAATCAGAGTTGTTACTACCAGACCTGGAAATATCCATGGCCCCCATCAGGTTCGCCAAGAAGCTTCCGGTGCCCGAGGCTGCGGAGCTCTCTGTGGCTACCTGTTTGGTGGCTTTTTTCCGAGCGCGAGGTGATGGTCAGAGTCACGCGAATGTGGCAGTGTCCCGCCTGGTGAGACACCTTGTCCATGTCTTTTGCCAGCACGTTGAGACCCAGATTGCACGGCGCTTGCTGTCCCACTGTCCGGATCCTTCCCACGAAGCCCGGCTTCATCCGTTTCTGGGCCACGCCCGGCGGAGAGGAAGCAAGGCTCTGGAACTCTCGCTGATCCAGCGGTTCACTGCCAAAGGAGGTGGCTTTGTCAGCACAGCCGGCGAGCTTTCGCTTCAACGCCTTGGTGTTGTGAAGCAAGGCTCCTCCTTGGCCCAGCGGACGGGGAGCGAATATGTGGCACGGAGTCTCATACACACGGCTGAGTTCGTTTCAGACTATGTCTCTCGCGCGAGTCCCGTTGTTCTGAACTTTGCCATGGATGCTACACACGTGGGCGGTGAGCACGTGCCTTGTCTCATCCTGACAAGGGTATTCTCTCATAAGTTAGATGGCTTCCTAAACTTCACCAGTCATATGTACACTGCTGACGCAAACAACCCACAGCAGCGAACCTCAACTTCATATAGCTAGCCGCGCTGGTTTTGTTGCGAGGCAGACCGCACGCGCGCCGCACGCGCACACGCAACGCACGTGCGCGCCAGCAGCCCTATGCCAGTTGCCACGCAAAGCAGCCAGACCCTGATTTTTTCCGCCGTTTCGGGATGCCAGCGGCCCAACCACAAGATATCAAGATGCAGTGTGGAAGCCAGCGTCCCTTGCATCACTTGCAGACCCAAAACGCAAGCCAAAAATCGCACCCGCCAGAAGCAGGTGATGTTCATCATTTTAGTCTTCAAAGAGCCCCCCGCGACATGCTCCAGACCTACAGGTCGGCGGTAAAGGGCGCAGAGCTTTGCTCTAGAGCCTTGAAGGACCAAGGTCGTTATTCCGACACGGCCGTTCGGCCAGTTGGCTGCGGCCGGCTTCGTGCTGTGCGTTCGAGGAGAGCCGCATCCCCAGCCATCCGCAAAAAATGGATCTGTCACAAGCAGCGCAAAAAGTCGCGTGGCTTTTTCTATCACACGCCCGCAAATCCTTTTCCATATAGGTAGGATGCTTCGGCCAAAATCTGTTCGCACGCCAGGCCGCATCCACCTCAGCCCTCAGCCTCCACTACGTGGCAGGCCCGCGTATCTTCGCTCTTTAGGGCAACTGACGCAGCCGTTCAGCCCCCCGGATTTACGTTGCTGACGCTCGACCGTTGGAGGTGAGTGAAAGACATGTTGCGAACAAGAGCTGCATCCAAAGCATCACCTGGCTCACTGGCACAGGCCTGCGCACCCACAACATGCGCTTTGCAGAGACAGCGCAAAGTGCCAACTCGGGTTCTTTCTTGGTTGGCGACGTGTGGCAGCCCCATGGAGCTTCGCTCAAGAGCCTTAAGGCTCCATAAAACCAAGGCGGGTAATCCGACATAGCCGTTCGAGTTTGAGAGGCCGCCTGCTGCCGCGCGACTGCTATATTAAATGAAGGGAGATCGCACTCGAGTGCGCATTGTTTTCATAATGTTCAGATTCCATTGCCGGCCTTTTGTGCAACCAAACTCTCGCTGGCCAGGTGCTGTCGCTGGTGCTACGTCTGGACGGGCGCCACTTCGCTGGGCCGACACAAATGCTGCCACAAGGGCCTGATGACAACCAGGCAGCTGCTGCCTTGGTGACCTTCACCCAGGGCTTGAAGAACGCAGCAACAACACCCACCGGCTCCAAGCCTGTCGCACAGACAGGGGCGTTTGATTGGAAGGAGTACCGCCAAGCCACAAAGGCTGTGCTGTCAGCCATGGCAAACAGCTTGCGGCAGTGCCTTCCAAACGGGTGGTCCCTCAACAAGTGCAAGCCGCAGAACATCCTCGCGCCCCGTGGTCTGGGCTCTGACCGGTTGCCGCTCCTTCCGGAAGAAGCGTCCATGATGATGATAGACCTGCCCGAGGGTGCCCAGGTCTTCTTCGTGTACAACTTCAAGACGCTTGAGGCCAGGCCGGACTTCTTCCTTGACTCCCACCGCCTGGTGTTTGCTGGAGATGAAGGAACTGAAGCCCTTAGCCTTCTGATAGCGCTGTTTTTCCTCACTGGCCACTGGTGACAGAATCCATCAGAGGGTACGCTGTTGTTTGTTTTGCCAACAAATAGTCAAGTTGTAGGGCCGAATCGATTTCATCCTTTTGACTGTCAGCGGCTAGAAGCCACTTGCTCCTGCAAGACTCGAGCAGTCATGCCTTGCTGCCCAGGGATTTCTCTGCTTCCTACATCTGGCAGCGCAGTCCATCTGGATTTGCTATTGGCCAGACATGCTGCACAAGATCTCCCGCAAGGTTGCCTTGGCGGTGAACAGCCACCCAGATTGCAAGGCGCTGGTCAAGCGGATGCAACGTGTCTTTCGGTACACCCGAGCTCCCTTTGCCTCGTGTCGCTTTGGCCAGCAAAATCTGTCAGCGCGCAAGCAGCTCCTCCTGGCTGTGAAACGTGGCGAGGCCATTGACCTTGTGGACATGTGGCTGCCCAACGTGGCCCGCGATGTGGGTAGCAACCCAGTCGACTTCTCGGTTCAGCAGCTGATTACGTTGCTGGAGGAATCCTGTCGTTCCTTGTCCCAACAGTGTGTCCGGAGAAGCTCTTTCATTGGTTTATTGCATGGCCAAGAATTACCAGTAGGTTTTCACATCATCGTTGCCCTAACCCTATCCTGTAGCTGAGGCAGCCCCCACCTGGTCTCCACAGAGTCGAAAGATGTCAGATGGATGTCCTTCTATGACCACGCTGTAGCGTGGAACCGGCGCTGGCACACTGAGCTTCTTGTGCACGCCTTTTCCTTCTGGCTTGAGGGCCGGGATCCATGGAGGAGTGTCACCAATGCGGCCAGTGAGGATGACACAGCCTTTAGCCACCGTGTCCATGCCTGGAACGTTGCCTGGCTGGCACTGCAGCCGCATTGTATAAAGATATAGCTTGGGTAGCTGTAGTTGGTTTCCTGCTTTTTCCAATAGGATCGAGGTTGCTTCGCAGCTTCCATAAGTCTCTGTGCTCATCAGGTTCTGGTGGACGCCGCCAACCAAGACCAGCTTCGCAGCATGATCAAGATATTTGCACCTTTGCGTGAGTTTCTTGCCGAATACGAAGCTGGGCTGGCAAGCCTTCCATCTAGATCGCTGTATGACTCAGTACATAATGCAACACTGCGCTTGCCACCCATGCCGCCAGGATCGCGACATGCAGCGGAAGCCCAATGCTTCCGTGACGCACGCAGTGGCTCTTGCCACGGGCCAGAGGACGAAGAAGCTGATATCGCTACTTGTCTATTTGTCATGCCTGACAGGTCTGCCAAACAATTCCAACGCCCGACATGCGTCGTAGTGTAATGCAACACGCGTACTCAAAAGCATCCCTTCGATTCACAAACCTGAATAGAAAGTAAAGGTGTTGCGTTTTGTTGTCTACCTTCCCAAGTCGGACTTGAAGGATTGCACGTGCTTTTTTCCGGTTGTGAGTCAGAGGTGTGTTTTGTAGCCCTGCTTAGGCGGACTATCACAGCTGCTGTTGGCAAAGCGACCGTTGAGTACTGCGGGATCTTGCAGGCAGACCCGGACCTCTCGGACAAGCTGGCGTTCCACTCTCACTTGCTTTTGTGCACCTTGTCCTCGCTACACGAACTGGCATCGTATCACCAAGCCTGGCCGTGGCGCTGTGCTGCAGCTCTGGATCCCAGCCAACTCGACTGTCTTTTGAAGAGCATGCAACTCGAGTGGGACTTTGTGAAGAACGTCCCGGATGTGGTGTCGCCCACTCATCAGATATGGGCTGTTCTGTCCCACACCCGCTGGCAGTGCTACCGTGAACTGTTCACAACTGCTGAGAGCCTTGACAGTCAAAAGTTCCCTTTTTGAAGTCTTTCCAGACCCGCCACTAACAAGGGGTTGTGTTGGCCCTTTTAAATTGCGGACCCTTTTGAATGCCTTCTCACAACTCTTAATATCCAACTCCACTCGGAACGGCCTGCGTGACATAATCCTGCGCCACGCGCTCTAGAGATTTGTTGTAGCCTCATAGTCATGCTTTGGGTAGATCGGCTTTGCATCTAAGGTTCTTTGGATTTGACGTGTCAAAAATGAAGCTGCCTGTGGCAGCTCCGTTCAAGAATGCGATCAAGAGCGTGCTTGGCCTCACAGGCGACAATGCTCGCTGCGACTCTCTCCTTTCGTCCTTGCACTGTGAGCTCAGCTTCAACGACGCGCGTGATGCGTGCCGGCGTGCCAAGAAGAGCGAGCGCAGCCTCCCGGCCAACCTGCACAGTGTTCACCTGAAGTCCAGCATTTGCCGCAGCAGCGGCTGTCCCACATTGGAGCTCCAAGATCACCATTGGGAGCAGCGAATCCCAAAACGGAGCATTCAGAGCCAAGTGCACCAGGCATTGAGAGTCAGTGACCGTCAGCTGGGGATCTGCTGCGAGGGTTTGACCCGGCACAAATCCAACCGCCTCCTGTCGAAGCCACATGTGGTAACTGCCCGGCTTGGCTTGATGCGGGGCCTTGTGCGCGCCTACCACGATGCCGCGGGCACCGAGGAGGAGAAGATGGAGGCGGCCATCGACTGCTTTTCAAACTCCTGGATGTCCAAGTTGGTCAGTCCCAGATGCTTCCTCAAGGACAAGAACACCAGCCTTGGGCCACGCATGGTGCTGCGGGCTGGCCCGTTCACTGTGTTGACACTGGGGCTTGTGCCTGATGGCGATGCTTTTTTGCTAACCCATTATGAGGTGCAGGAGTTTGTGGTTACCTCTCTTGATCAGGTCGAGATCGCCACCTGTGACCCCGTCATGGTGGGGGACTGGCAAAGCCTTGCCTACCGTCAGCGCTCGGAGTTCCGCAGCCTTGTGCAGCACGTTGCCCACGAAACCATCACGAGCATCGGAAAGGGTGTTCTGTCTCAGCTTTGCTCCAAGCTGCAGTTGCCAGGACACAGATCTCTGACTCACAAACTTCGGTGTGAGCTTTTCCTCAAGGCGCAAGGCGTTTCAGAGGAAAAGATCACCCAGCTTCTTTCAGAGATCCCCGAGACACCTCCAAGGCCCCGAAAAAAGCCTGATCACGATGGTGAAGATTTCCACCCCGAGGCCATCCGATCAAAGGAAAAATAATATGTGCATAGTTTTGTTTCAAGTTCAACCGGTTTTTCAAATTGGCAATGCTGTGCATTCTTTTTTGGGGGACTTTTTGCGCCCTCATCACCCCTACTACCCAGGGAAACCCTGACCCCCAGGAAGACAACGCGGAACCTCCCCACGACCACCTCGAGGGTCAGTCCGAAGATGAGGAATTGGCGGAGACTCTCAAAAACATTTGCGTGGCGCCTGCGGCTGACAATGACGATGCAGACCAGGAGCAGGCCCAGGAGCAGGCTGGACCGGTAGCAGCCGAGCCCGCGCCAGCTGCGGAGCCAGCTCTGGATGCAGTGCCCGGCAGCAGCCAGGCGGGAGAAAGAAATTCAGAAACCGATTGGAGCATTCTGGGCACAAACGTCCTGTTCTTGGAATGGGTGGTGTTTGGGCTGATAAGCATTCTCTCCAAGCTGTTTCTGTTTTTTAAAAGGGGGGCTGTGTTTCATCAAATTATTATGGGCTTACACCAAGAAACCGTAGTGGAGCGAAGAGTGTTTAACAATCCCCTGTTACTCAGGTCATTCCCACTTTTATTGGGGCTTTGCCTAAACCCGTGGACCTTGTTCCTGAGCCATCGTTTCACCAAATTCAACCAACTGTACCTTGAACAGTTATGAAACAAGTGCTTCAACTGATTGTGACCCTAGTCGAAGCCACAGTGGTCCAGGTTCGAGCGGACGAGGGCGGCGCACACGCAAGTCATCAGGCTCGCGGACGACCCGAAGGTGAGTTCGCCCCTGGAATCCGAGCATATTATGGAAATCCGGCCAACGCAAGCCAGTTCATCCAAGCTTATTTGCCCACCGGATTTGTGTTTCAAGGGCGCAAGTCAAAGACTGCTGCCTATGCTTCGGAAGGGTGCCCCCGTGGGACACAAAGAACAAAAGCTGCAGCTGTTCTTGCAGTTCAGAGCTGGACCTGGCAGTGGTGGGCCAGCCTGACCCCGCTGCAACAAAGCAGCATTCAGGAATCTGAAAAGCCAGATCTGGAGGAGCGTAGCGCCAAGCGGGCCCGTGTTGACTGAAGAGTTCTACCACAGGAATTGTAGCAACAAACCAAGCATGCACGATGAAACGCAATGCATGTTGTGCACATTATGTTGCTTTTGCAGAGTGTCCTTCAAGTTTGGGTTGGGGGCCCGCAGGCATGATTTCGGGGACTGACAATGCCACCGGCATTGCGTTGACATTGATGTGGGGAGAAAAAAGTTGGGAGTCGGCAAAGGGAGGGGGCAGGAACAGTTTAGTTTCAACCATGCTTGTGTCCACTACTTCGGTCGCAAGATTTTTTGCATCCATTTTGGGGGATAATTGGGATAGCTCTTCAGAATGGGGGGGTGTGGCTTAGAATAGTGGGCCCAAACAAATATTCAATTGCTGAATCAATCATCATCCCCGCCCAAGCATCGATACATGACAGTCGCTGTCAGCAAACCCTTGCACCCGAGGGCAACAAACTTGGAAGTCGGCCCACTGGATTCCCCAAACATGAGATTGTCTCAAAATAAGGGACCTAAAAAATGTAGATGTCTTTGTTGGTTTCCTATTAACACCAACCCAAAGTGGGTACACCCATATTGAGTGCGGAACTCAGGAGTGTTGTCCACCCATTCCTCAGCTCTGCGCGCGCGAAAATTGCACAACCCATATCCTGATCGGGTCGTTGAAAGTGACATCAAAAGCAACGCAACTTGTCTGATGTCTTGGGAGGTTCCTTTCCGTTCTTTTCATCCGACGTGGACGCCATGCAACTCCTTTTGTGGGCATTTGTGGGCTGGCTCCGTCCGAAAAAAATCCATATTCCCGACCCAAGAGCTTTGGGCCTAGCGGCAAAACTCGTTCCGAGGTAGTGTGACCTCTTTGCGCTTCAGAGTGTTGGTCTGTTTAGAGCTTCCACCTGTTGTCCTTTTGCTGTTTCCCTCCCCACAATGACCGAACCAAACATGGCTGACTGTGGGGGTTCAATTGGCCGACCAGTGTAATGGAAATGATAAAGGCATCCACCCGCCTACTGATTAATCGGTTCATCCGCAAGGCTTATAAGTCCGGGCTCCGCATTCGATTTGGGTTGCAGCCATTCTCAATCTGCAAGTGGGCCGGAAGCCCAAACACAAAAAGGTTCAAATCCTAGTCAACCTTAACCGCCTTAACCTGGTGGCGATTGGCCCCTGCCAAAAAAAAACTAATTATTTTTGTTGGGTTAGTCGGAACCTGGGGAAAAACAACAACTCTGATTTCCAGTCATCACTTCCGGTCAAAAACCAAGTAGGGTAAACTGGACATATTCTGAAACGCACATGGATATGACTTCGACCGTCTTCGACTCGGGCTCTTCGCTTGGCGCCCCTGCGAGGGTTGCCCCGCGGCATCTCCAGGCCCTCAGTTTCCGGCCATGGCACGGCACGCGAGGTCCGAGGGAAGCCACAACTGGAACTTGAACTGTCCACCACCATGTTCAAGGGCAAAGATACGTTTGCTACCAAACGTTGAACCAAAGTGGGAAGGTTCCCTTCCGGCCACCAATACGTGTCAAACGGTCCCCCAAACTAGCCCAAAGGAGGTCACTGAACAAACAGTTGATAGCCATTGGGGCCTGGATTGAATATCCTTTCAAACCACCCCGACTGCGCAAATAGGCACCGACCCACCAGGGTTCCCTCCCGTTCGGGAAATCTGCGAGCGCCGTCGCATTGAACTGTTGAACTGGCACGCATTGCATACCACTCATCCCGGGGTGTATCGAATCAATACCGTTTGCGGCAGTGCGAAAGGTGTGAACCGACCAACGGCCTTTCAGGTTCCCACACTTCCCAGTACCCTCCACTTGCGAGGGTGTTTGCAATGACTGATATTTCATCCAGATCAAGGTTGCTCCTAAGAGGAATTGTCGAGAAACCAAAGGAGAATAACAAATGTCTACGCTTTTCCAGGTTGGCATGTCACAGACCCGTCACAGGGACTTCAGAGTAGCCGAAAAGAAGCCAAGAAGTAATAACAACAACAAACAGTCATCACAAAGAGAGTGAGAACAACGCACATAATAAATTTACCAAGAACGACATGGAACAGGGAAAACCCTACAAACACAAGCACATGAGATAATGAAACAAACAGGCGAGGACCAAAAAACAAAGAGATAGATACACATGAATACAACAACACGAAAATAACTCACGCTTACTCTCAAAATGACAAGTAGAATCTGGGAAAACCGCTTAAACGGCGAGTAAGAAGAGACACAGGGAGGGAATGGGGATAAGGAAACGGGAGGAGGAGGAGCAGGAGGAGGAGGAGAAGGAGGAGGAGAAGGAGGAGGAGAAGGAGGAGGAGGGGAAGGAGCAAAACAAAACCAAATTTACAGCACTCACACATAAATCAACGAACAAACAAAACGCAAAGGATCATACCAATATGACAACACAAAGAAACGGTGCACATTAGAACCGCACACACAAACATAATACAAACATGCCGAATAAACTTGGCAACATAAAGAACTGATATGAGTCATGGGTGAAAAGGCAAAGATGAAGAGAACAGTGGTAACAGTGCAATGGCAACAACAACAGTACAGATTCACAAAGGGTTGCTCCAAAGACACAGGCGAGCTAGCTGTTGTGTGATGATCACGGTTTAGAGGCTCGGCGTTGCTCTTCCTTATGTTTAGGACTGGCCTTCAAGCCACGCAATGAACGCGTGCCATGGTCAAACTACCTCGGGGCAGATGCCACTCCTGAGGCTCACCCCATTCCCGGTACGACCAAGACCACGGCATCAGTATCGCCGCTGCGGCCAAGAGATTCCTCGCGCGGTCTGAACGGGTCACAAGTCCGCTGAAAAGACGTGGGGCAGGCCCGGTTCCGGTTGGCCCCTGACAGGAAGTGACAAGAGAACTGCAAACCAACGGGGACCTAGGCCAACACCTATCTCAAAAGGCCACCCAGCGTCAAAGCCGATTGGCCTATTGCCCGTTGTCCGCTTTGAACATTTCCAAAATCGGAAACTCATATGGCCCAACTCAGCCCCCCAAAGGACTTGGAAATACAAGATCACTGGCTGGTTGCCTTGACTGACCATGGTGGTAGAAAATCAGAGTCGGAGCTGGGCTATTGAAAATGGGCAGCTCAACCCAAAGCCACAATCCCTATGAGGAAACCTCCACAGATAAATCTTGCGGACCTCCTTGGCACAGCTCACCCAAGTGAACCAAACAATCAAGCCAGTAGACAAGGCAAAATATATGTTCACATTTCATTTTGGCTCACTTGAGTCACAATCAACCCTTGTACAAAAGTGGTCCACCCAAAAACCATGTACAGGATCAAGAGGGTGGATATCCGCACCTTCTTCTGGCTGAATCTGTCCACTACCAACGGCTCACCTAGTGACGGGAAAACTCGCCAAGGGCCATCAGGGGAGGAGGGCAAAGAAGCCTGCACAGCCCGCTCAAGTCTCCTGACGGGTTGGCTTCTACCAGGATGGATATGTCCAAAATAGGAATTGGTCCCCCGTCTCTAACTCTCTGCGTGATCGTCATTTAAGGGACTTTCAAAAAGCGTGATGTAGTCCAGAAAGCAACATATCCCCCTGAAATGGTTGGTTTCCTTTTGGTGTCCAATTGATTTCCAAGCAAAAGGGGATCTATCTTGGGAAGACTCGAATGAGAACAAAGGCTATGGATTTTGCGAATGCGACTTCATGCAACATGGGAGCTCCTTGTCTAGCGGTACATTATCTCGTCGGAGAAAGCAAGCCGCTTCCCAACCCCGTTTGGTTTCCGAACAGCAAGGTAGCAACTTACCTTTGCACCTGCTCAAAAAACCAAACAAATACAAACAACTCTAGGGACCCCTGCTAGACGGAGTCTACGCTTCTAGGGGTTTGAAAGGAAACCCTGCAAGTCAGCACCCTATTGGCATCCCTTTCCTTTAGGCCTCTCTTACCTTTCTGTATCCCTTCCCTTTAGAATGTATCTTTCCTTTGGGTTTCCATTTTGGTTTCTCTTCTTGGTTTCCTGATTTGTTCTCCCTCACCTTTCCCACTTCATCTCCTTTTGGGTTTTAGGGTTGGGTCCTTCGCCAGTAGAGGTACTTCCACCCCTCCGCGTCCAGGTGGATCAGCACTTCCTGCAGATCTCGTGCTGGGTTCAAGCGGGCACTGCGCCGAGTTTCCTGCAGGAGAACGTCCTATATAACCACTGCTAATTGATACGGCTGCAGGCTGGTAAGTGGAACCAAGAACTAAAACTTGGGGTCCCCTGCTAGTTTAATTTTGAGCCACGCCCATATGTCTCAACGGTGCTCCCCTTACCCCAAAACATTGGATGGCGTGATTTGCCCGCAGCCCAGGCGGGCAACAGCCTCAATCCTTGAAGCGTTTGCTCGGCCAGCCGCACACGTGTAGAATCTCCTGGCACTTCCTTCCGGCATCTCAGGCAAGAGAACGATTGAACCACACCCATGTGGGGCAAACGGGTGCGAACCACGCGTACCCGGCCTTCTTGAGCAGGCAGAGAGAAAGCGCGTAGCTGAATCCCAAGCCCCCGAGCATAGCTCGCACCATCATCGCTTAGCTCGAAAGTCGCCAAAGGCATAGCCCAAGCGATGAAAGCCATTGGTGACGGTCTTCACCCCGGCGAAGTACTCGCAGCACTTCAGATGCTTAAGTTGGCGCTTGCGCAAAGCCCTTGCACATCGAGACTTACTAGCACTCGGGGTCTCATCGCAGGCCTTCTGAGTACCACATGTCAATTCAAGTGGTCTCCACAACCGATCCAAAATTACAAGTCATCATGATTTCATTGACTTGTTCAAAACTGTCTTGGCTAGATGTCAAGCTCGGGTAAGGCCTTCAATTCTCGAGAGCCCTGGTTTGCAACGAACACTGCATACACCTCGTGTGAGTAAAAGGAAAAGGCTGATATTTGTGTGGGCTGCCCGTCCGAATTGCAAATGGCCTTGAAACACAACCACAACTTCTTGGAGCGCCCTCAGCCCCGTAGAACCATTCAGGAGAAATATCAAAATTCACCTTGAGGCTCCTGGTTGCCCATCGTCAAGGACAGCTGTGCTGAGGGAGCACCTTATTATTTTAGGTTGGGGCCCGCTACCCGGCAAAAATTAAAAAGCGGTGCCGCTTGGGTGCCGCAGCAGTCCTTGACACAAGATCGAAAACAGCGTCGATGCAAGAGGCACAGACAACACCAATGCCAACACTGTTGGGAGCGCCCTCCCGAAAAAGCCTTTGGGCACTTCTTCCGTGTAGGGCTTGCCCCTATGTGACAGCAACTCAAATAACAAGCATCGCGGTTCCCCCCCACCTACCCACACCTGTAGGGATTTTGGTACGTGTCCCCATGACCTCCCCAAACCAACAGCAGATTCTCTTTGTCAGTGACTGATGCAGTTGGCCAACCCAGGAGAAATGTTGATCTGGGTGTGCTGCTTTGTTTTGGTACGCGTTTGGGGTTGCTTTAAAAGGGAAACCAAAAGCAAGGCAACCCATGTTTGAGTCTCATCTGCCTTGACACATAGCTCATCTAGATTCCTTTGGCTTGCCTCGTGTCTCAACCCATCGGGAGCAACCCGAAACCTGATGATAGCCCTGGTCTTTTTCTTTGAGGGCCGGACATACTATTGCAATAGGTAACAATGTGCATTCAACGTGATTTTAGAGTATAGATTTAGTCCAAATTAGCCTTACTCTACGTTAGAGTTCGGATGACAGGCGAGTCCTTTCTCGGCCCAATCTTGGAGGGGCACCAACGGAAAAGCGAAACCCGCTGTGTGGGTAACTACCCCCCTGTTGGAGACAAAACCAAAGTTGACCCCAGGTGTATCTCTCATGAGACATACATGCTGTTTAATGTGGGTCCTGGCCAATCTAGGATTTACCTATGAGGAATCTACGGAAGCCCTTCAAATCAAACAAACCATCGGATGCATCACAGGGCTAGCTTTCAAGAAGTGCCCCCAGCAAAACAGTAAAGACAGAAACCACGGGATGAGCTTATATAATGTGAACCCCGTCAAGTTGCAGCAGTCAGTAGCAAGAATGAATGAAATTATCTGGGGCCTAGGGGTCGATTCCCCGACCTTTTCCAACATTGCCATTTTCGCAAACCAGCCGTTGTACCAGGGACTGGTGCTTTGCTGTAACGAATATTCCAGCAAATACTGTTTAAACTTATTCGGGCGTGGGGGGGCATCCCGTTCAAACTTATATGTATTAATCCCAACTTGCAACCCCCCATATGAGTGTGTATGTGTGTCTCAAAACCGGAAACCCTTTTGGAGTCGGTTTGGAAAGGGAATCGACACTCGTAACACCAGTTGTTTTTTGCAATCATATTCGACCCTCAGGCAACAAGGGCTCACACCAAAAGGCTCTCATCCATAAGACTCACAAGTGAATTGATTGCTGAGTTACACGAAAACTTGCACAACAAAACCCGGACCCATTTTGGGGGTTGATCCCATTTGATTAGTAAACGTTGAACCCCCCAAACAAGAAGGGGTTTGAAGCAGCCCGGAATCCACTGAACAAGTGGGCTGGTAATGGAGGATTAAACGAAGGAAAATCAAAGTGACGCTGAAGGGGAATCAAAACAAGACGAAACCAAAGCACGAAATCCGGCTGCAGGGAAATAACCAAATGCTCCCCCAACCCAGAAGTGGTTCTTAGAACCTTCTTGGAAAGGGTTCTCAGAAGGGCTCCGAGAACCATTCTAGTGGCTAGGTTGATGCCTACCGCCACTCCAACGCGGTTCTTTGTGCGAAGTCCTCCACCACAAAGATCAACGCAGCGCCTCACGCACGCAGATTGATCGGCTGAATAGCCCTTTGCCTAAACTCCCTGAAGGGTCCTGACCACCCCTAGCAACCAAGTACAGGTGTCTTTTGACCGTTCCCATGTGGGGTGAGCAACAACTCCCCTATCAGGGGAACCTCTTTCTTGTCTGTTCGGCTTCCTTTGTTGAAGCCTCTGCCAGTGCGGCTCCATTTGTTGGAGGCAGAACCCCATTCTTTGCTTGTTCGGCTCCTGTTGAAGAAGGGGCAACTCCTTTCTTGCATGTTCGGCTCCTCTCTGGTTGGAGGGGGAATCCCCTGTCTTGCCTGTTGAGCTATTCTTGTTGGAGGGGGAACCCAGTGTTCATTCTTTCGGGAAACCGCTTGCAATGTCGTCCAACGCTCACATGAGATCTAGTAGAAACCCCAAGTCCAGAGATGCTGGTCCAAGCGGGGAGGCCGCTATCCCTGATGTTTGTTCCAAGCGGGGAGGCCGCTATCCCTGATGTTTGTCTGTGTACCCCCCGACAAAAGGAGCCGAAAAGGCAAGAAAAAGGCTCCTCTCCAAACAACGTAGCCACACCCCATGTGAGGACTCACTCGCCCGCCCCGCGCCTATCTCCAAGCCGGTGGGCAGGTGGCCCTGCGTCGGCCTGCGCGCCTGGGCACGTAGCATGCGCGGCGATGCAACCGAATGGGGCTGGCAGTCGCTGAATACGATACGGAACCTACATGGCTAAGTTCCCCTGGCTTCTTCACCAAAAACACAAGGGTGCCACGTAACCAAATGCACCTCTACGAATATGGGAAGCATGCGACTGTTTAGGAAGCCAATTGTGGTGTCCTCCCATTGCAGACAAGCCCAAAAATCAAACAACGCAACCGTGTGCGATCAAACAAAGAAACTAAAGCTCAACGCATACAAACGAAAGCCGACGATGATTTTGACTGCCCCCAAGCCCCCATCCCTAGGTGAAAAAGGTGTGTATACCGGATAGTGGTCATATAGTGGGGGTATATCCCATGAAACCTCTGGGCATAGTGGTTTGGGGGTACTAAACAAATCATCTTACAGCAAAAGCAGCGGAATTCCACCACTGGTCTGGCTTCACCACGGGTCCTGCACAATCAATCAAACCACACAACATCTATTGCGTGGACTCAACATCAACCATGGTGCCCAGACCAATCCCACTCCAAAATCCCAACTGCACAGTCACTGCCAAGGGGGGGCTCCTTGCGTATCCCCAAGGGAAGGATTAGGGATTGCCTTTGAACAACCCAGTCACTTCAACGTTCAAGCAGAAACCTAGGATTGACACCGTTTCTTTGTTCATCATTCTAGTCAAGGGCAAAGATGTAAGACGCTACCAAACGTTGATCCAGAAAAGTCGGGGGGTCCCTTCCATGTCAAACAGTCCCCTGTCCCCCAGCCCAAAGGATGGTCCCAGTCAAATCGCCGAGTCGGAGCCGAGGACCGAGACCTCAGCCCCAGGCCAACTCCAGGCCCACGACCAGCGAGGTGAAGGTCGCCTCACTTGGAGGACCATGGGCCGGTTACAAACATGGACCCAGATTTCCCTATCACAAGCACAAGGGTGATCGAGAAGGCCTTTGACCTGCGAGTGATGATAGAGACAAGTCGAAGCAATCGCTTCGAAGGGGACGCCGGAGAAAAACAACAGCATGTGTGTGTGTGTGTGTGTGTCTCTCTGTGTGTGTGTGTGTCTCTGTGTGTGTGTGCGTGTGTGTCGTAAAACAAGGAAGCCCTCCCAAAAATGATGGCTTTCCCCTTGGATCCCCTGTACATTCGTCTGGGCAATAAGGAATCATCGTGCAGTTATAAGCTCCCAGCCGAAGCATTTGAATCCTTTTAGTCGTGTAGGCCCATCCGGCAGCCCTTCTCTCGCTTTCATGGATTGGCCCAACAGTCCCGACCTTTCAATTTAGCGCCAAACGAGCTTCCCAAAGCTCTTCAAAGTCCAAACGACTGCGGAGAAGTGAGTTGACCCAAGGGGCGAAGCACAAAAAACACCCATCATGATCTTATCATGACTAAATCAGATCTTGAGATACCCCACAACTCAACCCCATTCTAACCATCTTTCGGCCGTCGTAGCAACCGGGGACCTCCGCATCGCCTCGATTTGCGCCAAGGAGCCGCGAACCACATGGCGCCGCAGGTCCAGGTGGCAGGGTTGAAGCGCTGGCGCCTGATACCCAGCGATGGCGGCTGTGGCGAAGGGCGCAGTCTCAGACAACCAGAGTTGGGGCAAGCCTCGCTTAAATATTGTTTGAATAACTAAGGGGGCTCGTAAACTAAGAGGTTCTTAAATATGTAATGAAATTAACTACTTATTGTTTAAAGAACCTCCTTAGTCCTTTGGCCTAGACCAATCTCGGTAGACGCGGGAAAGGCGAAAAATAAACCAAAATGAGGAATTGCGCCATCTACGTTCATGCGATTGTAAGGCTGCCGCGTCTCAAGAAGGATTTGTTTCAACGGGTGGGGTCATGAGCTGGAAGGGTTGTTTCCGAAGACAACCATGGAAAGTCTTTCGTGTAAGGGTTCCTTGCCAGCCCTGACATATATCCTACTGACTGCGAATTGCCTGAAGGCTGCAGGTGAACCACCCACATGCAACCAACTCTGGAAATTGTCGTGAATTGTACGGTTCCGTTGTTCCCCTTTTGTTTTGAAGGCATCCACCGCACCTCTTGCCTTGCTTACAGGAAACCGCTCTCTCAAACAACGTCGTGTTTGTGGAAGAAACAAACATCGAAGTGATGCCGGTTGTCAGGACTGTCAATTGGCTCCCCGAAACATCAGTTTGCTAACCAAGACAGACAAAAGGAGTTGGCCAGTTGACCCACATATGTTGTAGTCGGCCTCCACTTCTTCCCAAATCGCTTCCCACTAGCCCCTACTTCTCTGAGAGTTGTCTGTCTGCCGCCAAATCCATGTCGTTTTCAAACAGACCTGAAAACGAAACCAAGAAACATCAAGAAACCCCTGACAAACTTTTACCAGTGAGGCTTGGTCGTTTGGGTGTGAGACTTGGCAAAACAAAAGGAACCTATTGCACTTCGCAAGGGCGGATCCTTGCTCGGGGCTGTAACAAAAGCAAATCAATTGCTGCGCACTTCTTTCGAATGCGGGCTGATTCTTTCCATGTGCTTTCCCAAGATCGGTTAATGAGTGACAAGGGGTGCCCTTCACAAACGGTGCCCTGGTCGCCCTGGTCACACAGCCAGGATTGAACCATGGTTTACATGTAACATGGGGCAAGGTACCTTAGCTAAACGACAGCCTTCTTACTAACCGATGACGAAAAGGAATCGGCCTAATGAAACGCATTCTGGTCTTGGCGAAACATGTTCCTTAAATGTTCCACTAAAGGGAACTCAACCCACATGCGAATTGTAGGGTTGCAACAGGTCAAAGGGACATCAATGTGATTCTGAACTCCGTCTTTGACACAAAGCAAACACCTACAAAGGCCGCTCATTCATCGCGTGTGTGTGGGTGTTGTGCAGAAATCCCTTTTTTGATTGGGTTGAAATGGAATCCAATAGGGGGCAACCCCTCAATATTGAGACAAACCCAAATGGTCGACTGTCCGAGATTTGTTTTCACTGCTTTGCTGCTATTGACCAACCTGAATTTTGGAATCCCTAATGGACATTCATCAAGGGTTTAGTTTAGCCCTCAAAAACAATTGCGCTCCGGCTCAGGAAACACTTTAAACAAGAAAGCCCCGTTTATGTTCCTTTTTGACATATGACATATTATGTGTCTGGGTCAAAACTCATGATGTGGGCCATGGTCATGGTTCCCTTACACGAAACCCGTATAGCGGTTGTCTAAGTCTAAAATCCCTTCTCGGAAGTGGTGGCCACCCCTACCAACCGCAAGTCAGCTGCAGCTGACTTTACAGGTTTGTTCCGCGCAGCTACGAGCGATATTGCACATCTGCATGGAGGTAGAGCTGCTCAAAAACACCTTACCCCACAAATCAGCCAAAACCAGGGACACTACTTTAGCACAAACTCACAACAAATCCATGTTTGGGTGTTTTTCTGGGCCCTGATTGACTGTAAACGCGCGCCAAGGCGCGTGCTTGCCCCGCTGTCACGGGCGTTTGACGTGTCTTCTTTTGCTGCGTGCGTGAGCATTTCCTGCCTTCAGGTCGTTTTTGGCTTTGGGGGAGGATGTTACAAGGGCCTATGTCTATATCCTCGTAGCAGTCTTGGCTCATGCTGTCTGATGATGTAGCGCTGTCGCTGTGCCTCGTTCTGTCTGTTGCCTTTCATCGTGTCTGCCTCCGCTCCCGTCCCAGCCTCTCATCCTGGTTAAAGGTTCACCCTGAATAGAACGATCAGTTGCTGGAGTAAGCTGCCGTGAGTCAGACCCGCTGGTGGCCGCAACAGTATCTCTTGTGGGCGATCTTCGTTGCTGGCATCTGTCAATGTGGCCAATGAAACCTACTGCCGCGCAGAACCTTCGCAGTGTCCGCAGAAGCCTTGAAGCGATTTGTGGAGACAAAGCGCTGCGGTGGCGCCGCTGACAGCGCGTCTGCTCTTCTCAGCGGATTTGCCGCGGAAGGCGTGCCCTGCCTTGCGGCACGCAGCTACTTGGTGGAGATGACGCCCTTCAAAGCAATGAAGAAACAAGACCTCACAAAGTAGCAGGCGGCAACCTTCAAGAAAGTTGCAAAAGCGCCGAAGCAAGCTGCGCTGGAGCAGAAGACCCAGCACAAGTTGGTGGCCGTAGATAGCGTGGCCGAAAGCAGCATAGCTGCTTGCAAGCTCCAGCTGCGCCGGCTTTGATGGCGTGCCAAAGCATGCTCACGTAGATCAGTTAGTTGCCCTAAGGCTCATGCAAAGCCCGGGCTCGCAGACTTTGCCGGGGGCGTGCGCAGAACTGCGCAAAGCTTGCGTGAATAAGATTGGCTGTTCCCCGAAGTCCTTCATGGACTTCGACCTGGATAGCTCTTGGCTGTGCCAGTGATTTGTGTGACGAGCGTGGGACAAAATAGCAGTCTGTCAATGGGGGAAGCGTCTTGAGAGGCGTACGTTTACGGCCAATCGAGCCGTTGTTTTGAGGGGAAACCTTCAAGGGATCAGATCCATTTTCAGGACAAACAACCCCCCCCCCACGTCCCCTTCACCGCGGAAGCCGCACCCTGGCACCAGCAGCGTGGATGTGCCCAATGCAAAGGCCTGAGCCCCACCCCAGGTGAAGATGCACCTCTTCATGATGCTTCCCTATATACCAAAAGAGTACCATCGTTTATTTACTTAGTTATAGATTTCTTCATTATTTTATTACATTATATATATAATAGGTATACATATTGTTTGGGGGAGGTCTGCAAGAAAGACACCCATATGCGCTTGAAACTTGTTGGAGGGTACAATTTTCGGGGTTGGTTTCTCTTGGAAGCCATCATGCGTGTGATACAGAGACAGAAATATCTATATATATATATATGTACATATGTCTGCCATTCAACGATCACCCCACCCAAAGGCAACTGGCTTTGAAAGGGCCTAAGGGCGACGCTTACAACCACCGAAGAGGAAATCTAGGCAACCGGCGTTTTCCCGAAAAGGGAGGCGGCCTTGATTGCAAACGAGCCTCCAAATGCAGCAATGACCCAAACATCAATTCGCCTCTACAAGCCAATCGCCGACGGGCAACTTCCAAACGAATCAAATACCATGCCTGGGATGCCAAAGGTGATTGCCCTGCAAATTGGCTATGGAATACAAAACCTCCGTGGAGGAATATTTCTTGAGGCTCTCTGGAAAAATAAGAGAGCATCAACCCCTTTTTAGCGGTTGAGCTTAAGGACACCCTCTTTCAAATGAAGGAAACGAGCCACACCCAGGGATCCAGGCTTTGGGTATTAAACCGATCCTGGCCCATCCCATTGTGTTTTTCCTTTGGATTAAACAACGGGCTCAGTATGCAGAAAGAGAACCGAGAATCAACAGGTTCTTTTGCCAAGTCCCATTTGGACCAGATTCTCAGGTGCGTCCTTTTTCAAGGACTTGGGCCCCCCAACATGGCAGAACAGTGTTCCTTGTTCCTCTTAATACCGCAAAGGTGCACCCTTAAACCAAAACGACGAGCCACTCATACGGGCAAGTTGGCCCCTTTCGAGTTGCAAAGTCGCCGTTCGGGGTACCGCGCAAGGCCCGGCGCCAGCAACTTGCTGGCGCTGGTTTCCACCTCCTGCGAGCTGAACAGAGGCCCTGGGAAAGGGCAACCATGGCTTTGTCTTCAAACAGACCCCGAAGCATGGGGAACTGGTTTCCCTTCTGTTTGCTGGTTCCAATGCGCCCAAGGTACCCGCGGAAAAAGAAAAAAACACATTGGCGCTATTCCTTTCTGCTCCATGGTGTTTGGGTTGCTCCCAAGAAACTGGCACTTGGGAAACATGTTCTGAGGAAACACCCTGGAAACCAAAGGAAATAAAGCAGTCCGAGTTTCTGCGGTTCTTGGTCGACATAAAACCCAAAAGGGTTCGACATGTTGTTGTTGTTCATTTTAGTGAAGGGCAAAGATGTCTCCTACGGCCCCCAGACTTTGATCCTTTTGAGCATCCGTTCCGGTTTGCTCTTAATTCTGGATTGCTCACAGGCGCAGCCCTCTCACACCCACTCCTGCTCAGCTGCCCCCCCCCAACAAAACGAATTACATGTTTGACTTCTGGTCCATGTCTGTTCAACCTCTAGATAGGCTTGCCTTTTTTGAGGGCATCCTTTGTGTGATAGATTTAACATGCAACCAAAAGGAAGCCCATCTTTTGAGGGTCCATTTTGAGACACACCCAAATGCACAATTAAGCAAAAGGTGGTCGTGCCGCCTGCCTGTTAAGGAATTCAGCCAGGAGCTGATTTCCCGTCATTTCTTAGGGGGGCGGCTTGGACATGGGATAGGATTGCCTTTTGACCCTCCTGCGCAATAGGTTTCAAGAACACATTTCCAGCGCTCTGACCAGGACTCCACATGGGCCCGTCTCAAAATAGGGCCCGACAATGGACTGTCTGCTTTTGCTCTTCTGTTCAACCGACCCCAAGAAAGGGTGCCCTCAAAAACATGCGTGAAAACTAGCTGTCTTCTGATTTTCTTGAGCACACACCCCAAGAGGGGACAATCACCCTCAACAACCACATCTCAAACCAACCTCTCGTACCGCCGGCGCGACGATTTTGTCTCCTGCATAGTGCGGACGCTGGGGAAAAAGCTGTTGGGCAGCATCCAGCAGGCTGCGATAAGAAGCGCCACCTCGGCAGAGGGATCTGCAACTTCGAAACCGGAACTTACATGCCAGAACCGATAAGTTCCTTTGGCGACCTTGACTAAACATGTTCCAAGGGAACCCAAAAGGGTAGCGGAAGGGTTCAATGATCGGCGGGCAACTGAGTGAAAAGAGGGATCCCCAAGTAAAAGACCTTAGTCACAGCGAGCTCGTTGTACCAGGCAAGCTCGCAGGGGCACAGTTTGCGCAACCCCCCAGGTCCTGCGCTTGCCCCAGAGGGGGGGAGGGGACAGAAGGGCCCAACAAATAAGCAACGCAGAGACTGCTCCCCACGAACATTCACCTAGCCAGGTTTTGAGTGTGGCAAACATGGAAAAAGAGCCATTTTGGCGGTCCCTTTACTATTGGCCAAACAAAGTGCCATGGCAGGTGTCTACCAGTTTCGGGGGCGTAGCCATGCTTCCGTCCATGACTACAAGACGTTTGGTCAAACCGCCTTTGCCTACAACAGACTTGACCAAATAGCTGCCCTTTAGGGGGTCGAAGGTTTACGGGGGATTAGGGCCAAGGATCCAACCCTAAATAGACAAGCGACAGATTCATGGTGCAACTCGCAATCTGAAGGACCTACCAATCGGAACCCTCCGAACGTGGATCGATCTGATCCCCCAGTGCCCGGGACCCCGACCCCTCGATTAGTACCGTTCTTTGGACGGCTTAAACTTAGACTTGTGATTTGGGCGCAGTCACCACTAACTCCTTGCGCATTTGGTGGGCAACCCGTTCAGACAAATTTCTTAAACGAAACGCAAGACTTGTGGGGAGACCACTCCTCATATACTTGCAGCAATTGTTGCTTCCAACTGATTTCACGTCTCAGCTTAGCATAAATTGGTGGTTTGGATTGGTTGTATGGGGGCTAGGGAGTGGCCCCATTATCGAACCCCAAACCAATCTGGGCCACCCATGGGCTACTGGAGCCCCGAACGAGGTTCAGGAAGGCGAAAAGCAGCGCCCGAAGATCCTTGCAGTTTGGGAGTCGGCCATGGAAAGAAGCGAGGTGAGGCTGCAAAGAACCTCAAGAAAGAAGCAGAAAGGAGCAGCCAAATTTAGGCTGGCCGACCTGGGCCAAAAAGCAAGAGAACCCGCCCCTAGTTGTGATTGAACGATTCTTCCTACGTAGCATCCGCATTTGAAGAAGCATTCGACAGGAACCTGCCGTGAAAGGAAATATGTCAAAAGGATTCTGGCAGACTGCAATGTATGGTTGCTCATCAAGCCGTACTCGAGCACGAGAAGCAACATGGGGGTGTCTCAAAATGGGATTTTCCACGGCTTTCTGGTTTTCAAACGTGGGCTGCAGCAGAAACAAACCGAAAAGGGCCCAAATCCAAAACAAAGACGCCCATAATATGGGGTTGTCCCTTTCGATCTCCATGATTGTGTGAGCAAGAAACTTGGCCAAGAATTCATCGCCTGCAACTTGTCCTACCTAACAACACGCTCGACAACTCCGGGTGGCCTGCAAAAGAAAGGGATGCTAGGCTGCAAGCTCCCCCCACAATTCCTTGAACTACGGTGCACCCGGGACTCAGTAACCCTAAATTCTTAACAATCACTTCTTTGGTGGGACAAGTTAAGAGGAACTCCCATCTTGTGTGGCAAATCTATGGTTGCAGCCAGGTAGCCAAGTAAAGCAGTGCGTGCCTGTACATGTGCGTCTGTTTTGTTTATGTTGGTTCCAACCACCACAACAAAGCTGCAGAAGAGGATGCCCCATTTGATTGATGGCTTTGCACAATGCAGGCCCAAGCGGGGACATAAGAAGGGTTCCAACCAAATGTCCAACGCAGAATCATCCCCCCAAAAAAGGGATCTGTAGAAACTGTTTCCTTGCAATTGCGAGGTGGACCTGGCTGGGGCGTCCGGCGTGGGTGTGCTCGAAGATCCGATACTCTTTCAGCTCCTACAGAGTTGTTGCCGCTCCCAACAAGTGGCCAGAGAAATTGGGCAAAAACTCTCCAGCCGCATGCCTCTTCCCAACTTGCAGGAACCATTCGGTTGCCAAGCTCCACGGCCCAGGGGTACGTTGGGCGGGGTGCCAACTTCAGGCGCCAAACGCCGCTTCCGCAAAACGGTGGGTTCAACACAACAACCCTGATGGCCAAGTCTGTGAAACACAACTTCTGCACCATGAATTGGGATGAATCAGATCTTGCACGTCATTGGAATTTCAACGACAACATAGATACAGTAAGGGCTCTCCATGAAAGAAACCGTCAATTTCGCGTGAAATTGCTCGCAACCGGTCATGAGGTCGCTATATGTACCCTTCCTCCCACTAACATAGCATCTGCGCTTCAAATGCTAACCATGCTAGTAAAGGTCCCAGCCCAAGAATGGTTTTGAAGGGCAACCAAAGGAAACAAACAGCCGCCTGGAATCACACCAACTCAATTTACCAGATTCAACAGCACGATTGGCCTCCTCAAGTATGGCCCAGTTGCCCAGCGACCCTTCGGTAGAAAAAGAGAACTTCGAGAACCCTTCGGCTGAAACCCCGGACGAACCAAACACCATTCTCAAAACGGGTCAAGAACTCCACTGAAGATCAGAGTGTCTCTGTTTTTGAAGGCAATTTTGTTGGTAGCTTTACCGGGTCAGTCAACAGGGCCAGACTTAGACCTCCTGCAAAAAGAGAGCTGTTTGTTGGTTGGCAGGGAAAGTGAAGAAAGTACAAAACTGCAAAGCCCATGAAAGGACAGCTACCTCTATGCCAGAACAAACCGCCCATTTGGAGGGGCCCGTAGCCCACCAAAAACCCGTGGATTTCCATGGGAAGGCTTTGGGAGTTGTTTTGAAAACGGAAACCCCCACAAAGCATGGCTCCTTGAGCATGGGGCCTACGCAGTAGAGCTGCATCATCATCTTTGCCTTCATGGAGTGCTTGGCTTTGTGGAACGCCTGGAAGCGACGGGTTGATACCACCCGCCAAAACTCCAGGCCAACATATCCTTCCTGCGTGAGTGGCTTGGCCCAACCGGGTGAACTTGCTATTTCTCACTCAAATGGTCTTCCCACAGAGTATAACATCCAGAACTTGGAAATTCAGTCGCACTACAAAGCCTCGGACACTGGGGATGATGCGTTATTGGAAGTGCCTGCCCAGAAGTGGATTGCATTGTCCAAGGGCTGCGTCCAACACTAGTCCACAAGACTGAGGACTTCTTACTTGCCTACTCACCTTTGTGTTGCCGAGTTTTGAGATAAACAAGGGGCACAAATAGGCCACTGGATATTTTGAGCCTTTGAACCCCCTGCAAACAGTTAAACATATGTAACCAGTGGGGAAAAAACATGCGTTTTCCCCAACACTCGAGAACAACGGTCATCCTCTCTCTAACTCAACGTAGTCAAAACTACTGCCCCGAAAAATTTGAGACAAGGAAGGTGCAGGGCCCATTCAAGTGACCTTGTCAAAATAACACTCTACATCATGGTGCAAAGGAAAATCATCGGTCATTTGAGAGCCTCACAAAATGAATCACTTAACTGGACTCAGTTCTATTGTTGCCGACACATTATCCGATTCATCGAGCCTTGCTGGCGTCCTTGCCGGCAAACTTTCGGAGGATCGCGTCACCCCCAGGATGTTTCCCTGGCGTCACATATGAGCCATGTGAGTAGTCCAAGCTGCTGATCTGGACCATGGTCATGATTCCCTAAATAAGAATCTTCAAAGCTTGCAATGGAAAAAGGTAGTCCAAATTCCGAAACTCAGGATTCATGACAATCTCCACCAACCCCGAGAACTGGAACTGGCAATTTGACCACGGCACATGTCAGCTTTGGTTTGAAATGATGGTAACCCCGAACTGGGGGTGGGCTGCCTCTCAACATCGACCTAGACATGACATGGTCAAATAGTGTTATGACAAATATTCAGCATGCCCCAAAGCAACAACTCCTACAAACGGGAGGTGTCCCTCTCCCTTGCAACATCCTCCAAAAAGGGCATCGTCAAATAACCCTCCAGCCGGAAGAAAACAAGGGCAACCCTTTGTTGGTAGTTTGCCTTAGAGAGAAACCTGCTCCCAAAAAAAGGCCCCACTGGAGGTCTGGGCGACATGTACACGTCCAAAGAGACTCACTTGAAAAGGGTCGAAATTGTGATGTGCCTCTTAAACAAGGGAACCCTTTTGGGGTTGGCTCAAAGAGAAACCAACATGAAACCCAACAACTGTGGAGTCCCCTTTTTTATAGACATACCCAAAATGGAAAATTGAAAAAGACACCAACCGAAAAGAGGAATATGATGGCCTCTGTCGCACCAAGCTATTCACGGCGAGACAACGCAGAAACTGTTGGCTCTTGCCATCAACATACCGTGCCGGAGGCTGCATCTTCAGTCTCAACGCGTTGCCATATTGAATGTCCGGCGGAGTGCATCATTGCCGACTGACTTGAACACATGCCCCTCAACAGCGGCCACTGATTCTTCACCCTTCTCAAAGACAGTCCCTGGCAAAAATGGACTCCAAGCTCACTTTGAGAACAATCAGACCCCATTGGGCCGGATGGAAGCACGGCCAAAAGCAGACTGTTGCCAAGTTGGGTGTGCTGTTTGTTGGCCATTTGGAAAACTCAAGAAGCAGATCTAGGCCCTGTTGTCACGCACTTGCTCTTCCGCAACGTGTCTCACCATTGCAACCCCTTGCGCCTAGGAACTCCGTGAGGTTGTAGGCCACGTTGTCGATCTGGCGAACGCTTGAGCAGCCAGGTGCCGAAGGTCAAAGGGATGTCAAACATGAGCCTTGCTTTCTTGTTCTTGTTCTTGTTGCTGCTGCTGCTGCTGCTGCTGCTGCTGCTGCTGCTGCTGCTCTGCTGCTGCTGCTGCTGCTGCTGCTGGCCTGCTTGATGTGTTTATGTGCTTGTTGTTGCAGCTGCTGGCCCAACTCGTGTTAAATATGCTTGCAGAGATTCTATGGAGCCTATGGGCCGCTTCACACCTTCAAAAATTGTAAAGCTTCTGTCAAAGGATCATCCTCGGCTTATGGCTTGTCCTCGGCTTTTCCAGGTGCCTGCGCCCCTATGGAACATCCGAGAGTTCACTGCCGTGTGCTATAACAGGTTATCCGAGCTTGGCGGGCTGTCCGGACCACATGCCCCTTCCCATGTGGCTTCTTTGAGGGGCACTTCAAAAGCATGGTGCATGCATACTCCACGGCCTCAAACAAATAGACGTGAGGGCCGCACAATTCAGAAGCCCAAACAAGCAGCATGTCTTACAGGCGGCACTAAACATGTTAAAAAAAAAAAAAGAAAAAAAAAAAGAAAAAAAAAGTCACGCACGGGGCTAGACAACCTGAAAAGTCAATCTGTGCCTCCTCCTTCGATTCCAACAATAAGCAGGTTTGTCTAGTTCAGGTCATTTACCAACTTTCACCATTCTTAAAACTTCTTCAAACCTTCATTGTCAAGCGGGCTCCTTGTGTCAGATCATTTCCCCAAAAAACCCAGTCCCACCACCCATCCTATGAGCGCACCTCCACCCAAAGCTCGCCCTCCTCGCTGTCGGCCTTGCTCGCAAAGAGCTCGGGGCTCACCTGGCGTTCGCGGGTCGCGAGACGAATGAGATGCAAAAGGGCGTCGTTTCCGAGTCGCCACCCTTTCGGTGGCTTTTGACTATGACTAAGGGAAACCGAAAGCAAGCCGCTCATTTTGGGGTTCCTGGCTTTGAGAAACACCCAAAATCCTGCGGAAGCTGGACGGAAGTTAAGGGAGCTTACTGCGCTTTCCTAAACATTAAAGGGAACACGCTTGGTCCGCTGACTAGGAAGGCAAAGTTGGGGAACCATCTCTGCCTCCATCAGAGGCTTCTTCACCACCTCCGGCGCGTCTTCTACAATGCTACTCTCCTCCTCCTGGCGAAGCCCGGCATGGTCCGTCATATTTCTCGGAAGAAAGCCAAGTTTCCTCCGTCCATGAAATATAGTCTTCAAAAGGTTTCTGAGAACATCTAGGGCCACGTATCTAAGTTGGCCAACTCACCCGGCTTCAACATGGCCCTTAATGTCCAAAGGTGATTTTTTCCGGAACATGGTTTCTTCATACAGCATCCCAGTTTGGAGGGGATCCTTCGCTGTTGGGCCGGACACCTTCTACCATTAGACCATCCATGCTGTTTCATCTGAAGTTAATCTGATATTAGCAACACGTAAAATGTCCGCATTGCCCCCCAAAAGGACATGTCGTTTTGAAGGGCCCCAGTTCTCCCACGATGATGCCCCCCCGAAACCAACAGTGCACTAACACGTTTTATTGGAGGTGGATCGGGGCTCGCCTTTGCACACGGGGCCAGGAGTGCTTTTCATCTGCGCGTGAATTCGGAAACTATATTTCCACGCGGCAAGGCTTTACGGCAGCCTGCCTCTTAAAACCAAACAAGCATTTATGCTCGAAACTCACAACCGAGCTAGGTAGGGTTGCGACCTTGTGCTTGGTTAGTGCTCGGTTCGTGCTCAATTGGTGCTCTGCTCTGCCGGCTCGCGCTCTGTTCGTGCTGCTTGGGTTGTGCTCAGGTGGCGCTCTGCTTGGGAGGCTCGTATTTGGATCGTGCCCGGTTCGGCCCGGTTCGTGCCCGGTTTGCGTCCGGTTCGTGCACGGATCGCGCACGGATCGCGCACGGATCGCGCATGGATCGTGCCCGGTTCGTGCCCGGTTTGCCCGGCTCATGCCCGGTTCTCGCTAGGTTCGTGCCCGGTTCGCGCCCGGCTCGTGCCCGGTTTGCGCCCGGTTCGTGCACGGATCGCGCGCGGATCGTGCACGGATCGCACCCGGCTCGTGCCGGTTCGTGCCCGGTTCGTGCCGCTCGTGCCCGGTTCGCGCTCGGTTCGCGCACGGATCGCGCACGGATCGCGCACGGATCACGCACGGATCGTGCCTGGTTCGTGCCCGGTTCGCGCCCGGCTCATGCCCGGTTCGTGCTCAGTTCGTGCCCGGTTCGTGCCCGGTTCGTGCCCGGTTCGCGCCCAGTTCGTAAACGGTTCGCGCACGGTTCGCGCCCGGTTCGTGCACGGATCGCGCACGGACCGCGCACGGATCGCGCCCGGCTCGTGCCCGGTTCGTGCCCGGTTCGCGCCCGGTTCGTGCCGGGTTCGTGTTTGGTTCGTGCCCGGTTCGTGCCCGGTTCGTGCCCGGCTCGTGCTCGGTTTTTGCTGCGAGGCTCATGCTAGTTTGAGCTTTGCCTTGGCGAACGGCTTCCCCATAGCAATAAATGGGGTACCCCCCTTCCCCCCTTTTAATGAATATTCCCTGGGGCAACAAAAACTATTGATAGGGTACCACAAGGGCGCTGCAGGGTGCCACCTGGCACAAACGCCTTAAACAGCAATATGTCCACTAGCGATTTAAAAGAAAACCGCTCAAGGCAGTTTTGTTGATATTGAACTTGAACAAAACAAATCGGCGCAGTTCAATCTGATTTGCTCACTCTAGATTTGAATTTGCAATTCGATAATTCAAACGTGAATGCAATCGTAAGTCAAACCTGGTTTGGAGAGCTAATAAGTTCAGGTCTGGACGAGGGGTCCGCGAAAAACAAATTAATGATAGAGCGCATTCTTGATAGGGGGAAGTAATTGGCAGCTCAGCCTAGAGCCTTTGAGAAATCTGGCGTGTTACAGAAACGCCGCAATCCGAACTCCAGAAACCACGGCGTTTTCTGTAACGTATCTTGAGCTGTTCAACCCAGTGTCCCGGAAAACACAAAGTTCGGTTGATAGTTTCACGCTAAATGCGTCTGCGCCAATGTGCTTGGAGCTGGGCGGCCATAGCAAATATATCTTTGTAGGGCTTTTCAATTCCAAGTCTGGGGGTGGCAACTTGGCTTTGCGGCAATAGCGTTTGGCGGCGTTCCTTTCTGGCGCTTAGAAGCACCAGCCACTGGCCAAATAAGAGGCAACAAGGCCCACAGAAACCACAAGGGTAAGAGAATAGACGCCCAAGCAGAAAAAGCATTCTGGAGAGTACAATTGCTGAGCAGACCAACAAAAGCTGAGCTGCGCGGCGCTTTCACCTTTGGCTGTTCAACGTAGGGCTTGAAATCACGCATTTGAGAAGGCATGCCTGTTTGAGCTGGCGCAAAGCAGAAACCCTCAGAGCGCTACGTGCTTCCAAAGCTTTGTCAGGTCCAACCATGCATCAACAGCTTCTTGCTGCGCGTAGAATTACAAATCTATCACGCCTGGAAAGCCCAGGGCGCCGAAGTTCCGCCACTGAAAGTTAAATAAACGCGCTTGGTGCCCAAAAACGTGGTTGGAGCAATTCGCGAATATTCAAGAACTTGCGTGAACCGTTTGATTGCCAAAAAACGCCGTTTGATTGCCAAAAAAGCCGTTGGCAAACATCAGTTGACCAGCTTGACCTTGGCAAAGCGTCACACTTTGGGATATATGCAGGTATTCTGTGACAAACCTTCTGACTTCACTGCCATGCTACACAAAACCACGCATCTTTGGAAAGCTCTCTGGAGGCCGTCTCGCACACTATGGCTTTGCATTGCCCGCGCTTACCTGCGAAACAAAACATTGGCCTGTGCGCAAACAAAAAAGCACTCTGGGGGCTGTGATGCCCAGTGCTATCAAAGGCAAGCCCCGTGGATCCAGCCCCTTTTTCTTAGCTCAATCAAGAAAGGTCAGATCAGGCAAGCATTGTTTCCGGAGGCATGCCAGGCCACAAAAGCACCCAAAACCGTCTACTGATATGGATGCCACGGAGACTAAGGCCTATATAGCTTTACTGCAACCCAAATCCGCCGACCCCCCTGCCTGCAAGGGGAAGGCGCTGGGGGAGTGTTCGTTTAGCGTTGGAGCGTGACTGTGGCAGCCTTCTCCCTTCCCTTTCGCCCTCGCCCGTTCAGCCCTGTACCTTACCAGCCTTCTTTCTTTCCCTTTTTTCTTGTTCTTCTTCGTTTCTTTTCTTTCCTTTTCCTTTCTGCTGCCGGCGCACTCCTTTGGTTGGTGCTCGCTGTGGACAAACGAGTGCGGCCTGGAAAAGCGGGAAGCGAAGCTTTTGTGGCTGGCCACTCCCTCTGGACCGATAGCCTTACTGCATATTGGACTCAAACGCGACGTTAGGCACCCGGCCGCGGCGGAGCAGGCTGCCGGCGCACTCCTTTGGTTCGTGCTCACTACGACGAAACAAATACGCCCTCCAAGCGCGCTGGACGCGAAGCTGTTCTTGCTGGTTGCGCCCTGGGGACCGATAGCTTTCTACTTTCTATATAGGAATCAAAAGTGACGTTCGGCACCCGGCCGCGGCGGGGCAGCCGCCCTTGGCAAGACGCACAGCAAACCCGAAGGGAGAAAGACCAGGGATAGGCAAACTGTGACAGACGCAGGCGCACATGGGCATGGACAGGCCGGGGGGTGAACCCGGCCCCTCTCGCATGCTGAGCGGGTGTGATGCCGCTACACCAACTGCCCCTGAGCTGAGGAGGCCGAGAGTGCTCAACTACCTGCTGGGCACAGTTTCAGCGCTGAAGCTCTGTCACGGCCAGCCCGTTCGGCCTGTTTTCTTCCTATCTGCTGCCGGCGCACTCCTTTGGTTGGTGCTCGCTGTGGGCAAACGAGTGCGGCCTGGAGCGCTCAAGCACCTGCAGGGCACAGTTTTCAGCGCTGAAGCTCTGTCACGGCCCGCCCGTCCGGCCTGTTTTCTTCCTTTCTGCTGCCGGCGGACCAGGGATAGGCAAACTGTGACAGATGCAGGCGCACATGGGCATGGACAGGCCGGGGATTGAACCCGGCCCCTCTCGCATGCTGAGCGGGTGTGATGCGACTACACCAACTGCCCCTGAGCTGAGGAGGCCGAGAGTGCTCAACTACCTGCTGGGCACAGCTTTCAGCGCTGAAGCTCTGTCACGGCCAGCCCGTTCGGCCTGTTTTCTTCCTGTCTGCTGCCGGCGCACTCCTTTGGTTGGTGCTCGCTGTGGGCAAACGAGTGCGGCCTGGAAAAGCGCTGAAGCACCTGCAGGGCACAGTTTTCAGCGCTGAAGCTCTGTCACGGCCCGCCCGTCCGGCCCTTTTTCTTCCTTTCTGCTGCCGGCGCACACCTTTGGTTGGTGCTCGCTGTGCGCAAACGAGTGTGGGCCCGCCCGTTCGGCCTCTTTTCTTCCTTTCTGCTGCCGGCGCACTCCTTTGGTTGGTGCTCGCTGTGGACAAACGAGTGCGGCCTGGAAAAGCGCGGGAAGCGAAGCTTTTGTGGCTGGCCGCTCCCTCTGGACCGATAGCCTTGCTGCATACAAGCAAGCCTGAACCAGCCAAAAGCCGCTGCCAGAACAAAAAAAACCTGGGCTGGCCCCCAGTGGAGGGGTCGGCGGCACTGGGCGGCAGCCCTTAAATCCGGCCACCGGACGTGATCGGGCCGCAGGCCAAAGCCCGTTAGGGCTTACCTTCAGGTATAAGGCCGCGCGCCCCATGCCGCCGACCATGCGCGGACCATGCGCAGAACATGCGCATACGTTTTATGCTGGGCCCTCCCTTATAAGGGGCGAAGGATTTGCGGATTTGTTTAAGCGATTTTTGAGGAGTTTTGTAGCATCTCCCCGCAGAGTCACAAAACGAGCGCTTCTTGGGGGGTGCCTAATGCTGGACAACACCCCCAGCATTGCCAGCATCATTCCGGATGATGCAGATGATGCTATGCATGCTGGCGATGCGAAACAAGGGGTTGATGGGAAATGCAAGGAAGCAGGAGTGACTGGAAGTGAACAATGAAAGTCAAAGGAATGGCACGAAAAATGGGGAGGGCACTGGAGAGAAACCGAGATGCAGGAAAATGCAAGGGCAGAACGTGAAGGGGACCGGACAGAATGCGTATAAAGGAGTCTTCAAGGAAATGAAGGGACATGCCAGGAAACTGTCAG